CCGTGCAGCGTGCAACATTTTTTCTCCACCATTAATTTTAGTAATTTCCGACAAGGATTTCATTGATGGTGTGTCAGATACCTTCGGACACGTGATTGTTTCAATTGTTCTGAGGCAATAACAAAAACCTTACGCACAAATGCACCTAACCTGCCTACAGATGTATGGCTTTCATTGAATCTTTCTAGTCAGTATTAAGAAAAGATCTTCCGATAGGTATGTGGCTCATTTTCCATCTTCCATTAGCATCTAACCGCTGCCCGTACCACGTTGCGTGGCAAAAAATGTGTTCTCCTAGTTTGTTACTTGGAACATTGTGGTCAAAACCGGCCGAGCCGAACCAAGGTTAGCAAAATATTTATTAATCGTTAGGGTGAGTAAACGTCAAACAAAAATCAACAACAGCAGTGTATCAGCCATTTGAACTGATGCCTTGCTATCATATAACCACGACTATGAGCCAGATAATAAAGAATCATAAGAGGGAGGGAAGGGGGCTTACAGGAAAACCCTGATGCTCTAAGCAAACATTCAGAGTCAAGGCCTCTACATCTTGTGTCAACAACATACCGTCACAAATAGTTGGCAATCTTTCAAAGGTAAGGTACCTTGTGGCTTTCACTGCCCCGTCATAATCAGCCACTACCTCTCAGATAACACAGTACCGAACACGCTTTAAACAGGATTCAGACGCGCAGTTCCCCGACTTGCAGTTAAAAGTCAGAGACGCTTACCTTATTGTTTTGGTGTACCGCACCCCTATATTCACACCCGAAACCGACTGCCACCTAGCGGCTGCTTTAAGATGCAGTTTACAGTGAAAACACACTCAAGAACTTATCATGGGTAATTTCAACGTACACAGTGTAGAAACCCCTGCCACGATCGGAGAACCATTCAAAGCCGAGCTACAAGAGCTCGTAAGCATTATTCCTCTGTACAATCACATCATCATGCCCACCCGGTTCAGAGCAAGTAACAGGCCGTTTGTGTTGGCTATTGTGCTTACCACAAAGAGCATACGATTGATGTGTTGAAAGTAATCTGCCCGTTAGGACGCAGTGATCATGCAGTGATCAATTTCAAGTTCGTCTGCTGTGCGGAATATCGGAATGAGAACGATGCGACTGTGCGAACCCACACAAGCAGCGATCGATTAACGCAGCTGATCAGCGCCACCACTTGCTCGTTCCTTGTCAATGAACTCCGGAAGTCGCCTGGCACGAGTTCGTCAACACATTCAGTCATCTGACTGCAGAGGCTTCAGATATAAGAGATTGCAATAAGTGTACATCAGTTTCTTTTGTTAGGAGCAGAACTCGTAAAGGAATGACAGTACGCAACACAGCATGGCGAGTGTACTGGGAAGCTCCAGCACCAGAAGCTTGGAACAACTACCTAGCCCAAAGTAACCACTGGATACAACTACTAAGTGAAGGCAAAGCCGCATACCAACCGAACGTGGCAAAAACCTTCAGTTCTAACCACAAACTGATTTACAAGCATGTCAATAGCCTAAGAAAGTTAAGGCAAAAATTTCCTCCACTTAGTGTGGCTGATGGCCAACAAGAACAGCTGTGAAAGCAGCAAATGCTACGGATGCAATACGCCCCACATTTCAGTGGGTCTCGCCACCCAGTGATCTTCCAATATTTGTCGTCTGCTCGCCAGGACTAACGCACATCACTTTTACCGCGGAGGCTGTATTGGAAATGCTGACGTCTCTACTCAAACACAGCTCGACGGGTGTCGACACCATTCGTCTAGAGACACTGGAAGCAGCAACAAGTGGACTGACAGGACCTTTAGTTAAGTGTTTACAGCGCTGCTTAGGCCTGCATCAAGTTCCCACCATGTGGAAGCTTGGAATAATAACCCCGCTTCACAAAAGTAAAAGCCGAACTGATCCCTCCAACTACTGCCTAATATCCCTTCTTTCTATACTCTCCAACGTCATGGAATCCATAGTTGTTGCTTCACTGGTATGTTATCTGGAATACTGCAACATCATTACGCTTGAGCAACACGGCTTTCGTCGATAGCCGTCATGCACAACGAATTTACTAATCGCACCCTGTAGCTGTATCGAGTCAGCTGACGCTGGAGAAGGCGTTGATTTGATCTACTTGAATTTTTCGAAGGCTTTCGAGCGTCTAGACCTCCGGATACCACTTTTCAAGCTCCAGCATTACGAGATCGGTGACCCTCTTTTAAGCTGGATTGACAACTTTCAACTTCAACGGCCATTAGTGGTCAGAGTTCGGAGCTATTAAGCTTACCTCATACAAGTCGAATGTTGTGTGTCGCAAGGCTCAGTTCTAGGTCCACGTTTGTTTGCGTTGTTTATTTATGTCCTGACACAAGGAATCGCTTCAAACTTCTTAATGCTTGCCAACGATATCAAGAGTTGGCGCAAGATCCAGGTGTTGCCAACCAGCATTTGCTTCAGAGTGACTTAGATACGGTAAAGGTATAGTCAAACCACAATTTACTACATTTCAATGTATCTAAATGCAAAGTACTCTCCATCCGACGTCAGAGAAGTTACTGATATTCGTTTGGAAAGAATGTACTTCAACAATCAACTCTTGAACGTGACTTGGGTGTCCCGATTCAAGATGACTTGGGTTGCTCCAGACAATCCGAAAACGCTTCGAAGAATGGGAACCAACACTTCGGGCCGTTGTGACGGTCGTTTGGACAAATAAACCTACATATTACGACAAATGCTCAGTGCGTATATTCGCCCCCTATGTCGAATACGCTACTCAAGCCTGGCATCCATAACTGAAACAGGACCTCAATGCACTGGAGTAGCCACAGCGCCGTGCATCTACGAACGTAATTGGAATGCACAGTCTTTCATCCCAAGAGAGTCTGAAACGATTAGGGCTATTCAGCGTAAGCTTATCGCAGATTAGGAGGCGATCGGATTAGACATACTTGATTCTGCGAGACCCAAATCATGCGAGCCGCTCTTTACTGCAACTCAGCAGCAATACCAAGCTGAGGGGCCCCTCATTGAAACTCGCGGAACCGTATAGCCATCTGGAGGGCTGTAGAAATTTCTTTTTCTTTCGTGTCTATCACCTGTGGAATGTTCTCCTAGAATCGGTCGTCTCTGCATCGGCACAAACAGTATTTAAAAAAGCTTGGACGAGGCACTCATCCACTTACACTTTGTCACTTAACACTACGTCTCCATCCTACACCTGGAGTTTACCATGGAATTATTTGACGTTAACTACGCGGATTTTAAGACTACAGCAACGCAATTGATCATTCGCTATTTTCATATATAAAATACTATTGTTTTACTATCATTATTATCGTTATTATTATTACTTCGATATCACCACCAACTATCCAATGGGACCTGTAAAGCAACGCTTATTAACCAGTATACATTCACCGTTCATCGTTCTTTGTTCAACTGGTGCTCCGCACATAGTTGCAACAGACGCTCGCCGTTATCAATCCGTTCGGTATTAAGCCCATAAGTATCACCTAGCTGAGCCGCTGAAGAGCTCAGTTGACCTACTTGTGCATTCATATCTCCTGCAAGTATTGCGCTATCTGAACTGGTAGCACTGCGTATTAGCCTGTTCAGTTCGTGGTAGAAAGTATCCTTTTCGGTATCAGAGCTGCAATCAGTGGCAGCGTAAGCGAAAACCACAAACAAACTGCGTCTTGTACTAATTCGTGAAGCGACCTTGGTCAATATCATCAAACGGCTGTTCACCGTAATCCAATCAACCAACGAGGATGCAGCCTTAGAGCAGAGTACGACTCTTAAACCAGCTTGAATAGAGGCTTCCGCATCAGGGTCTGCGGATGGGTGCAACCAATAGAGGGGACAAGCAGGGTGCAGTTAATTCAACAACTCCATAAGAGTCATTTATATTAATTTCGGATGCGCAACACACGTCAATGCCCAGCGTCTCTAACATGCGTGTGAGTGCAGCCTGTTGAGCTGATTGTCTTAGAGTGCGAAGATTGAACGCCGCCAGGTAAACGGGACAGCTTGTGTTTAAAAAGGGCTATGGCTGAGAGCCGTCCAGTGGGTATTGCGGGAAGGTGGCTACAGATGATTCCAATCCAGTGGCACTTCGGTTACTGTCAATTAACCTGAGAATTATAGAAGGAAATTTAGTAATGGGGATCAGGTTAGGAGTAAAAGGTGGAGAAGAAAGAAGAGAACCTTCAGCATTAGCATGTTTTCGCGTATTTGCCCTGCTGTATGCAGCGCATAAGGCTCCCCTTGATAATCTGCGCGATGGCCCATGCAGGATGTATTTAAAGTTTGGGGAATTTGTCATGGTCGTATGTGGGCTGAGATAGTGTAGGGGCGCCGAGACCTAGACAGGAGGATAATTAGAGTTCTCAAATAAAGCCTTTGGTTCAAAAGCCTGTCCGCAAGGCAGCGGAGAGATGGCAATCATTTGGGTTTGTACAAATGCACGCCATCCCATTTCAAACATCTAACCTGAAGAACCAGAAGACTGTTTGTCTGACCTCTAACTATTGACCAACCTGATAGGAGTAGCTCTCAGGAGGCCCGGAGGCATCACCTAGTATAGCTCAATGGGTTAGTCGAGTCTTAATAAAACTGGGTACCAGTAAGCGAGTTAGGCGACAGGTTTAATTTTGAAAGCCTAAGGGTAGAGATCACGTGATAGCAACCTGTTGATGAATCAGCACGCGGACTTATTGTGGAATACAATATCGCACACATGCGACGCACGCATTCGCGCATCGCACTATTCCGATGAACATCAATGCCCTAATTATGTCAGCTCGATCGATCACGAAACGTTTGCATGGAAAGTGCAAACTCCGAGCTTAGAACAAAAAGGAACTACCAGAGTTTCTAATATTCGTTTCTAGCTTACGTAACTTACTTATTTACCATGACTTTGACAGAACTGGCACTTATGAATTGTACAGGACGCATGCAGTCATGTTATGTAAAAATGCATTCGAAATTTATCCGGACTTACTGCCCATGGCCACGAATTTGGGGAGGTGCTTTCTCCACCCAAGATTTTGTGAACAAGTCCAGTAGTCTTCGGTCGGATGCCGCAGTTCTCCAACACAACTGCAGTAGACGAAAGAGTACAATCATTACTTTTGAAAAAATGATTAGGGTTATGATAAAACAAATCTCATCCTGCGTCCGTCTAAATCTGTTTTAACCGTTAAAACATGTTAGGGTTCACGCACTCCTAGCGTGGCGTTGCTGTTTCAAGTAACCCGTTAACCAGTTAACAGTGATTAGTTGTTTACAAGCTAAGTGGTCCTTTTCATCTCGTCATACACGGTATAAAATGAAGCATGTGGCTAGTTGGACTTGTTCACGGTGTGGCCATATGATCTGCGCACGGTTTCGTTCAGCATTCGGTAAGGTTGTACAAAATGCAAGTGGGACAATGCGGTTGTGTGCGTGTTGGACCAAGTGCATCGGTTTATAATCGAATCATTACGGCATTGACGTGTAATCGAACGAATAACCAGAGAGAGATAGACTGAAGGCACATAGCGTTCCTGGTTTAACAAAGCCAGGACAACGAACATTACTGCGGAATGAGCAGAATTTAGTATATTTCGTATATTCTCTTCAACCGCTTACATACAATGTGTGTAATTGGGCAATACCAGAAATCATTGGTTAGTTGTGTTGGTTAGCCTGTCTTACGTTACCAAAGCAAAGCAAGATAGGCCACAAACTCAAGTTGTTTGCATAGGTTAGGCTTCACATGCCGGTTGGCGGAAGTCTCAGTAAAACTCAAGAACTGATAGTTGCTCAGACTGTTGATGACTTTGAATGATACTCGAGGATTCTGGCATATCTAGCATTCGAAAAGGTGCCGGGAAACCGAGCCGACAGGTTTAGCAGTTAAAACGGTCAAATTCTTATGTGGATGGTTTAGAACATGTGAACACATCGTTTCTTCCATCTCATACCTCAGTAGCTATCGTGATTTCCCTGTAGCTGGCCTTCGCTCAAAAACAGCGAACAGCTTACCAGAACGTAAACTCTTCTTGGACTTTGTTCAATGTCCACTGCCAAGGAAACAGTATTAAATTAATCGGCACTTGCAAACTAGTTGAAAGGGACAGTCGCGCGTGATTATCCAGAGGAAAATATTTAGTTGAAATAAGTCACATCCTCTTATTCTCTTGGCTCCACTTCCTATTGTATTAAAGCATCGTGCATAATAACTGAACTCATGCACAACTGACGGTATAATTTTAATTTAAAGTTCAGGCTATGAGCTTTAGGTAGATTATTTAGGTCCAAAAGTGTGTATGTTAACGTTTGTGAGCGCGTACAATGATTGTAAAAGTGAGGCCTGCACTTTCTATAGGTTGATGAGAGTTGAGATCCTTAAGAACATGTTTCAACTTGTTTGTTATCATCATCAACATTGTAAAGTCCAAAGAGCACTTTGAATTTTCAGCCAAAATGCTTAACCTATTGTGGATATAATATCCATCCTTCCCAAACCCTTCACTTATATCCTTACAGAAATGCATGTTTTCCTCTACACTTGCATTATGAAACACTGCGTTTTCATCTTGAACTATTAACACATTCTTGGCTCTTCAAGGTCAAACATTTTATTCCGATTAGCAAAATGCAACGCTGTATGGCTTTGCCACGCTGCCGCACGTCTTGCAGCTTCTACCCTTTCCTATTACCATTGAAAACCTATCCGTAAGTTGATTACTCTATTGAATTTGCATCATCGAACAACGATGATAGGAATTTACGCTTACGTTTCACAGAAAAGACCGTGCGTTTAGTATAGTTTTACTAGCCTAAGTTTCCGTTTCCCATTCACTGCGAGCACCTAATCTAGACTTTTTATAGTAGTTACAAGAATCCTCAGCATCAGCAACATCATCATCATCATCATCATCAGCACCAGCAGCAACAGCATCACAAATTAGCTGAAACAAAGGAATACTTCAACTATTGCGCCGCGATACATAAAGATGCCATACGAAGGAATCAAAATGTTAAACTGTATAGATTGCTATGAAAAATGCGGCAGACTACTTAATAACTTAGTATGCGTCAAGGGGTTGATCGTTGTTTGTGGGAGGATGTGCAGGATGCGGAGTGAAAGGAACATCACAACACCAAAGCCATGGATGTCGGGCCCTTGCCATGTCAACTGGTGTATCCAACCAAACGTGTTCATCGTCTTTCTTACCCCAGCCATGCAGTCGGGTTCCACCAACCGATATCAACTTCGAAGTGAGCGATATCATTCCGCTATACCAAGTCCACTTTTGGCCATCCTCCTCTTCTTCTATTCACACCCACGGCGGGGAAATAACGCACGCCGCGGTAGTATGTGGGCTGGCATGTGCAAAACGTGGCCCAGCCTTCGAAGCCCGGGTCGTGATATAATGATGCTGAGCGATACACTTGCTTTTCCTGCACGCGATGCCGAACACGCTCATTGCCCACTCAGTGCTCCCACCAGACATGAGCTAAGCTGCGAAGGCAGTGATGATCGAAGGGAGTAGGCCCTTTATGTCTGTCGACTTGATGGGTCAGGTTTAGTAACCACACAGTAGGGTTGGACCAACGGTTGCATAATAAACGCTACCCTTCAGGGCGAGAGTGATATCGCACCGGGGCTACTGGTGGCAGAGTTTGTCAAAAGCGCCTCAAGCTTTGTTATGAGGTTTGTGATATCGTCTTCCGTTCTACTGGACCTGATATAACTGCCTAGATACTTGAATTTCTAGACGACTACCAGCTGATCCCCACCAAGGGTCCGCACAGAGGAGGGACCCCGATAATCTTAGAGAACGACCTTTAATTTGGAGAGCGCAAAGCATAGCGCGAAATGGCTGACAGCCAGTGCTGGTTTGTTCAGTGCCACCTGGCACGTTTGAAAGCATTCACAGATAAGAGCAATGTTGTCGGCTTACTCCAAGTCAATAAGTCGTTCACGCTGGAGCGGCGGCTTCCATTATCCCGTCGATCGAGAAGTTAAAAAGGAAAGAAGGTACCGCTGGAGATATCGGACGGCGGCGATAGCGTGCGGTATGCCATCACTCTGTCCAAACTATGCACGTACAGCGCACTTATGAAGTTTAGATATTTCTAATGTGTAGGAGAATTTTAATTGTGATGTTTTCCTCTCAGCTCCACATAAGCTTCGTAACACAGAATGGACCAAAATGCACCAGAAGTCTATTGCCCTATAGTGCGCTTTTCCTAGGTAGCCATATAGGGGATCGTACCCATGACCGCTAGAGGCAGATACCAACTACCCAGCAGCTTAAGGCACTGAACCATGAGTGACGTCGATTGGGCTACACAATTTACATGCGAACTGGGATATAGCACGACCTATCTTCCACTGCCACGCAGGTTACTACCTTAGCAGATGACAGTGGCTAGCCTGCGAAGGTCATGACTGCCTCTCACTGGACGCCACATCCATAGCGTTTGAAACTAGGAGAGGCTATAATGTATGTTACTAATGAGTAGAAGGCTTTTAATAATGTTGTTTTCTTTCCAATTGCTCACAAGCTGCTTACCGCATTCTAGTTCATAAAAGCACAAGAAGTGTTTAAACGTTTTGCTGGCACACCTTTCCTCGGTAGACAATTCTAAAGGATGCATCGATCCACCGATTCGAAGGCGCCTTTGATGTCAAGGAACAAGACTAAGGTGGCCGGTCGATAAATATGGCGGTGCTCTAACAATTGACGGACTGTGAACATGTGATTAACACAGTCACGACTTAGACGAAACCCGGCTAACTCCTCGCGTATCTAGCTTTCACGTGTGCCAGCAAGCCTGTGGTGACAGACAGAGGCGAGGACTTTAAAAGTAATTGTGTTCAGACTGTTACTATTCTCAAACCGACACCTCGTTGTCTCCTAGTTAACCCATAATTGAAACCCGGGTATGCAGGAAGAAAACTTGCGTGAGAAGTCTCGCCCTACCGTGGTGGGGTCAATCCTGTTTTATCCTCCAATCAGACTGCATTAAGACTTAATGCACTTTCACCGCTATGTTTACAGTTCAGTTTGTGCAACAACGGATTCAAAGTGTACAAGCGGAAATGCAATCCCATTGCATTTTATAAGTAGACCCAATCGTTCACAACACCATAAGTCAATTGGTAGCTTAAGTTTGTAACTTCGTAGCTAGGTGAGATGACCACGCTGTCCTCTGTGCGACAGTAATGTTTGAGTCACTGGATATTAAGGGACGCTGGATCACATTTGGGATCCCAGCCACGTCGGTTGTTAACATCCTTAGTATTGCAGTGGTCATCATCACTGTCTGTTAACAGTCGAGTTGCGGGATCAAACTCCACAAAGGTCAGACGGAATGCGAACTGCTGGAGATTTCGTAAAAGATGAAACTGGCATGAAATGCTTCTCCGAAAGTGTGGTGAATGGTTGCTACATTCTAGTTCTAATGAAATGCTACTTATGCCATTCAAATCATATACGAGACTCTTCGAAGACTGCTTCGAGCGGCTGAGTTCATTCGAGAGTGTTATCTCAGTCACACACCTAGGATACCACATACCCGTATATGCTAGTCGGCTGATAAAGCATGTATATAATCTTACAGTTATGATAATAAAAATCGAACAGATTCATAAGTAAACCTTCGTAAGTGCTGTCCTTGTCTCCTTGAAGTGAATCGCTGTTTGCTCGGCTTTCAAGCATCCGCAATCTCTCAGCGTAACCAGCATACGTGAGCACCTGGAGGTGATCACAAAAATAAATCATTAAGGAACACTAAGTAGGGGGCGACCGTAGCACTTATCATTGAGAAACTCTACACACTAATCTCAATTCTACTCGTCTGCCGTAGCAAATTCCCAATCCAGCAAAGAGAGTATCCCAGAATCGTCGACTTTAGAGCTGATGAAGAAGAATGCATTGCTCCAGACCGTTAAAGATTTCGAAGATGTCGAGGTAAATGACATCCATCCCCGCCCCTGCGTTAATCATGTCGTACAACTATCGCACACAATAAGTAGGTTGGTAGTGGATGGCGAATCCTGTCAAAAGTCATGTTATAATGCCCCGAATGATCGATAATGAATA